TAATAGTGATATTCAAATTGCATAACAATTATAATCATACTACAAAATGTAGTAGTTTAATATTATTATTACAACGGTCAATTCAAAAAAATCAAAATTGATCAAAATGTTTGGGAAAATAAATAAATTATATTTGTTTATGCAGGTTTATTTTGAGAATAATGACACATGATTTCATGTGTTCAGAAAGTTAAATTCAGTAACCAATTATTATATAGATACCAATATAATCACAATATCTGGAAAGCATGCATTATCTCCACAAAACAAAATATTGTAATTCAACAGTGCAGCATGAAGACTAAGATAAATTACTTACCTATTGGTACAGATGCTACTTGTGTAAACACATCCAACATTCGATTACCATCAGCATCAACTAAGTAATTCCCTTTACTTTTCTTATAATTACCAAAAAATAATACATGTTCAACATTCTATGAACAAAAATCACATGAATCACAAGTCAATGTCAATGTCAAAATTAAATCAAAATTTTCAATCTAAACACAAAACAAACTGACAAGCATCAGTAACCCATGCACACGTAATAAGCTCGGTTATTAAGCATCCTTTTTTGGGGATGTCCGGTGGCCGAGGGGAAGACGTGTAGTGGCGTGAAGCTAGGCGATTAGGTGCTGTACGCGAGCGCCGGTTCGAGTTACGCATGCAGTACATGTTTACTATAATTAGACATAGTCTTTACCTTGCCGTTTATTCAGTGTTATTTGCTTACTTAGTAACCCATGCAAATGTTCTTACCAAGTGATATCTGACAATTTGTTAACATAAAGGGTTGCTAGTTGTTAAATTTCATCAAAATCACAAATTCAGCAATTTTGAATCAGCAATTTTGAATAAAAATCATGAAGATAAATAAAATGCATTGGTAATTCACCATGAGTAATGATGATAATAAAATAAATAAAATTGATATAGGCATGCCTAAGAAATTGTTGATAACATGTGTGAATTGTTTTGTTGTCTTTTGGAACAAAAATAGCCACCAATCAGTCAAAAATCAGTAGAAAAATAATATATATATATCATTGTCTTGTATTATGCCTGGGTGGTTAAAAACACATTCAAATATAAAAAACTATTAAAGAAGAAAATATCTATTACAGAAATAAAACCCCATTATTCTTATTTATTTATAATTTTGTATATTTTATTTTTAAATATTTGGTGAACGCAATACATATTGCATATTTTAATAAAATTGCTTTGTCTTTCCTCTTTCTGGTTTGTTTTGATAACATAATCTTTAAATAAGAATTTTCTTTTTTCCTTGTATAATTCATCATCTACGATGAAGTTAATTTTATTCTCAACTTCTTTTTCATTGCATTTTTTCCAAAGTTTATTCTTTTCTTTGATAACTGGTTCTTTGACCTAATTTGATTTCATATTATATTTCAGTAATTTTAAAAACAAAGCATCTCTCTATACACTTTTTTAAAGTCTACAAAACAACTGTATATACGTTATTCTTTACCACTGTTTTCTCTTTTCCCATAAAGATATTTTTCAACAACCTTTTAAAAAAAAAAGAGTGCGTTATCTTTTCTAAAACTGAATTGAAGCTCAGTGAAATAATAATATTTAGAATACTAGTGAATAACTCTGATAAAGACAGCGTGACAGTAAAATTGCTCGTCAATTAGTTGGGTCTGATTTATGAATTAGAGCAAATATCATTGACATCCACTATTTAAACTGCATTTTTTGCATGCTTTCGTCTAGTAGTATACCGGTATTATCTGTTTTCAATAACTTGGAAATTTCATCTTCAGCAGTGGATTTTTTATTTTTTAAATTTTTGATTGCTTTTTGCATCAAGTTTCATTGAAATGATATGATTAGTTATTAAGATGTCAGTAGAAAACCTGACAATTGAGGACTATGCAAATTAGGCAATTAATACGTACAGATTCCAACTAAAAAACTAAAAAGTATGCATTGTCCCAGAGCATTTACTGGTATGTATCAAATTTCATTACAATCTGAAAAGCAGTTCTTGAGATATACATGGACACAAACAGGGTAATTCCAAAGACTTATATTGTATGTTACACACACAGAAGTAAAACCAAATTACCAATATGTGTATGGTTTCACTTCCTGCTAAACCCAGAGCACAGTGCTATGGAGGGACTGTGCCCAGATACAAGCTGAAATAACTCAAAATAAGTTACACTAAATCACCTGCTAAAGGCTTCTACAGAAATAACTGGAAAAAAAGCTACAGCATGTGGTGTGTAACAAATCCCCAGTATACTACATAAACATAGTGTCATTGATGCATGTATATGTGTACACATAAATATTGTAGCTGCATACATGTGTGACAAGCTAGTTAACTACCTGCTTTCATTCAGCTGTCAACCATCACAACTGTAACAACTGTTTTAGCTATATGTTTATCAATGAGCATTATTTAGATCATAAGATTAGTGTAGAATTCTATGCAAATATTGTACGTACCTTGGTAATGTTTTCAAATTTGCCGAGTAATTCCTATAGGAATAAAACAATTAAAACATGTGTTATTATGGGATGCATATGCAGGAAATGTGAAGAAAACACACAAATTGTTTACACTCTACATAACAAAAAAAATATGCAAAATTATATAAGACTTATTATAATGACAATTGATAGGAAGTGACAAGATCAAAGTTAGCTTGCATTGGGGTGATTTAAACAATAATGACCCCTCCCCCTCCCCCCCCCCATAGCACCATATTTGATGAGATTTAAGTAGGATCAATAGCAAGATAATGTGCAAAGCGAAGTTGAACAAATTATTGCATCCAGACCTTTCTCCGAATCAAATATGATGAAGTGATTCATTGTTTTTGTTATAAATCAACATTATCATAATTAAACAAATCTTGTTGAATTTGGGGCTGTTTTTTTTTTTTAAATGAATTTACTTGTGAAAAGAGGTAATTTATGTAATAAAGTGAAGCTATGATGTCATGGTAGTCATGGTGATTTATATTAAGCTATAATTTTGTTGGGCGGTCTAGACTTTTCACAAAACCCATTCATGTGTGGCTTATCACCATTACATGTAGGTACAACAACAGGTTTTTTAGGGTGTTCCCTTTTTGCAATATCCGTATGATAATGTACACTATCCAGCCTAGTTTGAATATAGGCTTGTATGAAAGTGAGTATGAGGGCAAGCACAATACCAATTAAAAGAAACTTATAACTAAAAAATGTGTTATTTTATGAATAATAAATAATAAGTATAATTCTATGAATCTATGTGCAAAAAGAAAATCTAAATGCTTCCAGGAAATATACAATTGAGTATGGTCATTACAGCCTATGTCACAATAAATTTGAAGTTGACAGGAAAGAGATTTCCAATAAAAAACAATCTATTGCACTATTAGTGTGATGCAAAGTATTAAAATTTGTATATTTTTTTATAATAGGTTGGTGATCCATTATTTTTATATTTGTAGAAATGTTCTCTAATGTTTTTTAAATTTTGAATTAAATTTCTCAAAAACAAAGAAGACAAGCAGTTGGCCCAAAAAAATATCTTGAGTCGTGGATTACCAGCAGCCAGTGACAGTAGTAGTTCTATTAAATCACAAGCATGGCCGCATTGAATGCAATAAATTTAGTCTCGTACAATCAAATTCTTGTGAGTTTGACGTTTTAATTTGGTGCACAATAAACCCTTTTGAAAATTACCCATGAGTCAAAGTAATACTGAATAACAACATTTTAATAAATCATGCCCCAAGTCTCACTAAGTATAGATTTATTTATTACATTAATCATTCCACTGTACAAACATAGAAGTCATGCATGCTTTGTTTCCAATCCAAATGACATACAAAGGCTTACAAAACAGAGGGTGTAAACAAGCAGTGTCTCGGCTGAGAGCTCTGTTAGCGATTAAGTTATTGTCATAAAATGATTAAATCTGGTAAAAGTCCACCAAAAGTACATGCATACGTAGTATCAAAGCAATAGTGCTAGCCATATTTTGAAGAAACAGTCAAAAATGTTTTACAAACAAAAATACAAATATTCACTAAATTATAGAATTGAAGTTATTCTGTAATGACAAATTTGAGAAAAGTCCACTTAAGGTACCTACATATACAAATATATGTCAAGAAAGTATTATGTTACGAAAGACACAACTATAGCTATACTGATTCACACCTTAGATCTGGGTCCAGGAACTATTATGTTACATAAAGAAGTATATCTATATTGATTCTGACCTTAGATCTGGGTCCAGGAACCGTGGTTTTCATAGATGGTTTGTCATACTCATCGGGAAATAGTCTTGTCTGTGGAGATAACTTCCTTGCATGTGAAACACAGCGAACTGAAAAAAAACAGAAAAACACATTTTTTGTTACTACAATCAACATTTTCCCATCCATAAATGACAAAATGTGTGCATGACAGCAGCTATCAAAGATGGAGAAAATTCACTTAATTAAGAATACTTGATATTATTGAAACAATAACATTAATAATTATTTATAGTAATGTTCTGACAAATAAACACAAATAATAAAGTGACTGATTTGCACAGGTTGACTTTATTTATATTACTATTCGGTGACACAGAAACCTGATGAGGCCACACAAAATGAAGCAATTGATTTTCAATACAGTTATCATCTGCACAGTGTCTGACTTCAAATGTTATGTTTCATTTAGCATTCTATTGTTATGTTATATTTATTTAATTCGATCTGATAGGCAGAAAGGCTAAAAGATGGTTAATTATTATGCTAATTAGGTGATTAGTATGCATGGATTCCAACTAAAAAATACAGACAGACACACGGACAGGGTAACTGCACACAGAAGAAAAAAAAGGTCACTAACAAAAGAATTATTTTTAGTGTAATGTCCTCTCAGTAAGTATGTGTGTGGGACAAAGGGTTGACTCCCTCTAGTAAAATAGGGGGGCAAGGGTTATTTTCGTTCAACGTAATTGCAATATTTTTTTGTTCGTACAACGTAAATTGAAAAAATAAATTTTGTAATTCTGTAATCACAGGCTAGACGTACAACGTAATCAATCAAATATATTTTTCTTACATCGTAAAAATGTGTCATTTTTTTCGGTGCGTACAAGAATTTTCAAGGTTTTCTTTTTTAATTTTCTGTAAAATGTAAAATAACCTTTATTTTCTCTGTAAACTGTAAACATTCAATTTTCCCTGTAAACTGTAAAAACGTCTTTTTTCCTTGTAAATTGTAAAAAGCCCTTTTTATTTCCCGTAAAACTGTACCAGCTACCCCCCTTGCCCCCCCCCCTCAAAATAGGTAGCCAGCTGCACTATATTTTTAGACCATAAAATATAGACCACCTCATGGTCTTAAAAATTTAAACCTGCTGTTTCAACCAATGGTTGGGACACAATTTAAATTTAAAAAACAAGTGCGTGGAAATGACAAGTCCCCATCAGTACTTTGTCAAAGATTACTGACAAATACCCAACATACCAAAGAATAGAATGGATTACGTGTCAAAATAAACAATTTCAGGAATTGCATAAAGAAGCAATGACCTATTTAAATGTGTCAATTGTGGTTTATAGTGTGATGGTGGATCAAATCATTAGAGTAGTCTTACAGTACTTGCTGGTGGGGGGGGGGATTACCAATACATGGAATATCTATTTTGACTGATATGATACAAAATGGAGCCAGTTTATTTGCGCTTTTTTTTGTATTTGTGTTGAATGAGATAAGTCAAGGCATGTCAGAGAAATGGTCCTGGAAGAGCATTCTTTAAAACAATATGACCATGAGTCAGCCATTTTGAATCGTATGTGCAAACAAGCAGCCTGTCGGCTGAAATAGCTCCGCTGTTTGCAAGGCACATTGCAATTAAAGAACAGAAGATATCATTAGAAAATGAACAATATGTATAGTATTAAAGCAATCAGACTTTTTATAACTTTTTATCAAAAATATTAATTAAAATTAGATAATTGAAGAACAAAATCATCACGAAATGAACAAATCTGAGAGAGGTCTAGTACCTATGTAGTATATATAATATCAAAGCAATGGGACTTGTGGTTTTTAACAAGAAATCGAAAATATCACTTTTTACCAAAAATGACAAAAATATTTATCAAAATTAGAGAATTGAAGATATCATCACAAAATGAACAAATCTGAGAGAGGTCCACCCAAGGTACCTACATACCAAGTATCAAAGCATTCAGACTAGTGGTTTTCAAGAAGAAAATAGCATTTTTGACCAAAAATGCCAAAAATATTGGCTATAAATAAGACAATTGAACATATCCACACAAAATGAACAAATCTGAGAGAGGAGCACCCAAGGTACCTAGAAGGTTTCACAGCTATACAGTTTGTGGTTTTTAAGAAGAAGTTGGAAATGTAAAGTTGATGACGACGACAGTGACAGCAACGACGTACGCCGACGGACAGTCAGTAATACTATAAGCTCCGCTCGACTTTGTTGACAGCGGAGCTAAAAACTGAAGATATCATTAGAAAATGAACAATAGGTACAGTGTCAAAGCAATCAGACTTGCTGTTTTTAACAAGAATTCAAAAATATCACTTTTTACCAAAGATTCCAAAAATATTCACCAAAATTAGAGAATTGAAAATATCATCATGAAATGAACAAATCTGAGAGAGGTCCACATGTAGTACCTATATATGTAATATCAAAGCAATCTGACTTGCAGTTTTTAACAAGAAGTCGAAAATATCCCTTTTTACCAAAAATGACAAAAATATTCACCAAAATTAGAGAATTGAAGATATCATCATTAAATGAACAAATCTAAAAGAGGTCTACCCAAGGTACATATACACCAAGTATCAAAGCATTCAGACTTGTAGTTTCTAAGAAGAAGTCGAAAAGGTAAAAAGTTGACACGGACGACGACAGACAATCACTCATATGATAAGCTTGACAAAGTCAACAGCGGGGCTAAAAAATTAAGTGAATCAAGGTTTGATTTTTATGCATTTTTAACATAAAAATTATTATGAAATGTGGGCATGTGCTTATTCAAAAATATGTGTGATGTATGTCATAAGTTTGAAAGTGATCAGTGATCAAGTGATCTCTAACTATGAGTTACATGATTTGGATGTGATGTGTTTTTGACAATTTTGATTTTTGATGTGTGCTAATAAGTCAAGGAGTGTAAAAATCATACGGCAAGCAGCCTGTCACTGATATAACTCAATTTCAAGATAACAAGAATATTCAATAAAATGAGAAAATTGAAGTTGTCAACAATAAATAAATAAATCTATCTAACAGAGGAATGAACCAAATTAATCAGACAGTGGTTCATCTAAGGTACCTACATATATAATATCAAAGCTGGTGCTTTTTAAAACAAGTCAGAAATAATTGGGTTTTTTTTACCAAAAATGACAAACAAAAAAATTACTGAAATTAGAGAACTAAGTTTTCACCATGAATTCAACAATTATTTTGATTGCATGTACATTCATTGACTGTATATTTCTGTCTAAGTGATCAGCGCCCTCTTGTGTTCATTTAATTAAATAAAAGAAACATTGTGCTGTGAATTATTGTATTTATTACTAGGTACTTTTCTCTCCTCGCACGGGTACAGTTGTGGCGATTAGTTTTCGCAAAATTATCTCCATCCCTGATTAAAAAGAAGTGAAAACTTATAAAAGTGTTAGACCTGTACTGAAGACAATACCCAGACTCTAGTACTAGTAACAGTGTCAATATGCGTAAAGCCCCACCCGAGGCCCGTCGTAGCTGCAATTCTGTAATTTATATGTTATTTGGTTTCGCTGTAGTATCAAAGCAATCAAGCGGGCGGGCGGTTTTCAAAAAATCATAAGCGAAAGTTGACGAAGACGCGCAGATTCGTTCAATCATATTCGATGACAGTAGAGCTTAGACAATAATATTGATTATTATTATTTCATGAATAAAGCCACACAAAAAGATTGCAGTATAATACTCACCCGGGGTCGCTATCTGTTTGCCACGATGGAAACGAAACAAATCCACGCTTATTTTCACTCGTTTACAGGCCATTTCGCGTCGCAAGATAAGAACCACCAGTCAGCCTCAGCAACGCACATCAACGTTTGCCAGTCTGTCAAGGCGGCGAGCTGCTTTAAATACTATCAGAAGTATTGTGAGGTCATGGGTTATGAATAAATTAACAGGGGTCGTCGACATCTCGCGTGAACGACATATTGTGTCAAGGTTGCCTAGATTCTGCTCATTAACCACGTAAATTTATTCCAACGTCATCAAGAATTGGGCGGTCGCACTTCGTTTCTGTGGCAACTATCGCCTGATACATAACAACATTGGTACATTCAGATCAGCGGCGCTAGCTATATTTACCCGCCAATCAACGCCATGGGCCATCTGTGGGGCTGAACGACCATGTCCCGGTACAGAATCTTATTCTTGCTCAAAATAATAAAAATATAGAATTGGAACATTTTAGTAATGTAATACAAGCATGTATCAAGCATGTAGCGAATTTTGGTTTTTCTCTACATACTCTGATTATGTTTTTTAAATATTGCTCAGATTTGCATGTACCCATAAAAATTAAACTACTCAAAATTGTGTTGGTAAATATTTTATTAAATTATATTTATATGTTTAGATTGAACATTACTTGTTATATACAATTTTCGCAATGATAATGACATTCGTTTTATACATACATGTTTGTGTCAGTCTTTAGATACTTATTATATTAGCATTGTGTGATTTTTGTAAAATTGTTCAAAAATTAATAAATTGATAATGTCGATTTTCAACAGTAAATCAGCAAAAAGTCTATATGCCATCAGGCGAAAAACATTTAAATGAATAGATAATTTGTTATAATCAATATATTATTATATTTATATACTTGGCTATACAATTATTTTTTAAGAAATCGTGTGGGGCAAAATGATACTAGTAGTGCACAACGCTGAACGTGTATTAATGTTCATAAATACAAAAGACGTATTGTAAGCGTTGTTCTTTGTTCATGAATAATTCAAAGAATTCCACTTGAAATTGAAACATTGGAAGAACTGTGTCTTCTCGTCAGCTCCAGAAATTGAACTTCGAATAAAGCTGCACAGTTTTAGCCAATGTACAATGTGATATTTACAATACCGGTGCCGGTTTACAAAATATGCCACATTTATCTGTAGCAATTACATTTAGCATATGATTCTAACTGTAGAATTTACACTCTGCATATGAATGCAAGTATGGCCGGTCTACAATCTACATAGGAACACACAATTTACCGAA